ATGTATTAAAATATTAAGGGCCATTATGAATCTTTAATCTTTAAACAAATAAGGACGTTGATATGTGATTAAATGGGCCATAACGTTTTCAAACGTTTACATTATTAAATTTCCTAATAATGAATCTTTAATCATCATGGGAGTGGAGTAAAACATATGCTCATCAACGTATTTGCATGGAATCACTAACGTTAATATTTTTATTAATTACAAACGTTAGTCTAACGTTCCAGCAACCTGAGCAGCAAAGTTCTTACGTGTATATATATGTGTGTGTTCGGCCTTGAGTTTCAGAGTATGCGTAGAACAATTTTGAGCTAAATATTTTTAGTCTGCTGGATTAATAATTTTCTATTCTCGTTGTTCTGTGACCGGCATCCGTCGAAGAGCTCGTTTTATCTTGGGGAAAGATTTTCGCTAGTCGGAAATACTTTCTTGAGGACAGCGTTTACGCGACTCGAGCTATATTATTTTATAACGCTTTTTGCAGGTATATCCGGCGAATTATTTCAACACTCATAAATACGAGTCTGAGATTTCAACATGGTGACTATTTCAGAGACTAAAAATATGATTTTTCCTTAGAAAATAAAGAAAGGGAAATGGGTGCTATGGAAAAGGAAGAAGCTGAGAGAGGAGAATGAAAGAGCATGAGAAATAAAGAAATGAGAAAGACTATTTATTTGATGTGCCAAGAGTGTACACATTTTGCGTGCACGTAATATTTTTTTTAAACACAAATGGCCTTAGTAGAATTTGATCGCATTGTCATATGCACAAAAACTGAAATACACTAGAGTATGTACTTATGAAAATGCCACAACCTCATGGAGATCAATGAATTAAACACCATCAAATCATGCATCAGCAATTATGAAGTCGATCGAGAATGTAGGAGTATTTGGTAACACTTAAAATAAGCACTTCTCAGTTTTTAATTTAAAAAAGCTAAAAAGAGTGTTCGCTAATACCTGTTTTTGCTTAAAAACATTTTAAAGCCAAAATCTAGAAGCGGGTCCAGGGGTGCTTTTAACTGCTTCTCAGTTTTATTGTAAATAACTCAAACTTTAGAGCCATTTATAATGGTCAATTATTTAACTTCAAAAATGATAAATGTACACATTTGCGTGTACACCTTTCATACACTATTTGTCTTACGAAATAATTACATAAATATGACCAAAATAAAGATGATTTACAAAAATATGACTAATGACTAGAGTAGTAATGAAATCATAGTAATTCATGTTCAAATTTTGAGCTTAAGTTACCACACACCACATTGTAGTAATGAATAGTCATATTTATGTAAATACTATCGTATGTTTTATTTACATAAAAGATCTCTACTTGTTTTGGGAGAGTTGGGTCTTCTTTTGAAATGAAGAGCTAAACTTACAGACAAATTGGATGGATCGGCCCATAACTAAAAGTAAAAGATCTCTACTTGTTTTGGGCTGCCCCAATCCCATTTGTGGAAATTTCCCATTCGAGCAACTTTTCGTTACCGCATTTCGTTTATGGCCCAGTTCTTTTACTTTTTCATATTTAGACTTTCACTTTTTCACTTTTATTTTCTTATTTCAAAAATAGTCTTCAAGCTATAAAAGCCTTACTCAACCAACGCTTCTCCGTACACCACTTTTACTCCTCATTCGCCTTCTCTATCAATCTTCTGGTTCCAATGAAACCCTCGACTCCTACTTCCACCAAAAGCTCGGATTGCCGCTTGTTCGTCTACTTCCTCCACTATTTCGAATCCGAAGTGATTTTCGTCAAAATAACAAAGACGCCAGAGCTACTACATCTGCGGCGAGGCTGTGAGGCGGTCTGAATTTCGAGGTTTGGTAGATTTTGGACATTCAATTTAATCTGAGAATTCCGTTCTAAGAGAAAAGTGACTCTCTAGAAACATCCTATACGGAGAGACCACAATACCAGACTGATTTCTCAGCATGATGAACGAGATAAATGGAATCTCACATGATGAGGGAGAGATATTAGATCGGTGATATATAGTTGGTTGGCAGAAGAGATGAAGATCCATATATCGAGAAGCTTGCCGGTCCTCGCATAGCAATGCTTCCTAGGTTGTTCTTCCACCCCTTCTACCCTTTTTTGGTTAGCAATTATCATTCAAAAATTAAACTCTTGCACTAATTTTACTTTTGCTAGATAAATTACAAGTATAATCTATTGACCTTTCATTGGAACATTTGTTTTGCTAACAATTGAACTTTGAATTAAGCCTTTGGAGCCTGATTGTTCTGTAGTGACTTGATAGTTTTGCAACTTCTCATGAGACCATAATACTATATTAATAAGTAGAAGATTTGCTTTGTTTTAATTATTAGGTTGTCAATCCCGATCAATGGGCCAATAGTTTTGTGATTTTGAAATGTTTACTTTGTTACAAATCTTATGAATCATCTTTTGGTAAATAACAATTTTACAGTTTGCTGCACCTGGAAATTTAAGCACACACATATGGAAGAAATACATGATGGATGATATAGGTAAGGTTCATTAAATTATTGCTTTGTTGTGTAGGAGACATATTCAAACATCAGTGACAACTAGTGATATAATATTTAAATATCACAGTAATGGTTATCATGATTATAATCTATATATATGGTTGTTTAAGAAATTTAGACATAAAGTTGAATGCTAGCTCAAAACATGTTTACTTAATTTCCAGGGATTGTAGAAAGAACCGAGTGCTAAGGAAAACCATATATGTAGTGTGAATCCTCAACTAAAAAATGTGTTTAAAAAGGTATATCACACACTGGAAATAATCAATCCCTTGTCATTGAGGTAACTAGCAACCTCTCCTTCATTATTCCGCATTGCCAAGTAGGAAGTGCATTACAACATTACTTACAATGACAAAAAACAAATATGGTGGTGTGGACTGATACCAGACAATAAGATTGTTAAGGGACTGCAATTGTTGGCATTAGTCCTTCTCTTAAATGATCAATTAATCTTGTTATATATTTTATAATATTGCAAGTTTAGGATAAATAACTTATCATCCAAACTAAGGATTTTCACGGTGTGTTTGTTTATTTTTATAAAGTTGATGTAGCTACTACTAGTGCAGGTCTACGAGAATCTAAGAACAAACACAAATTAAACCAAGGGTGTTTCACGTGCACTGGTCGTTAGGTGCACTCAAAATAAATAATCAATACGACACAAATACGTAGTATAGTGTAGTAAGGTTCGTATCCACAGGGAAAGGAATACTTTTCTTTTATAATAGTAGTAACAAAAAGGGGGGTTTAGATTTGTTTGTTTTAACAACACTAAGATAAACAACCTATATGAGTTTAATTCAATGAGATGGGGACTTGGTCTTGCTTTTATCCACTTAATGAAATGTTCGTCGATCCCGGTTATATCTTTAACTATCTTCCTCTCGAATACTCAATCGAGGAGTATATCCAGTTCATCGAGGGTAGTTATTAATAACGAGATGCGTTCATTAATAAAACTTACTATCGAGTCAATATAGAAACAGTGCCGTATATTAACTTGATAGTAGCAATAAACTTAAGATGAAAACGATTGAGATTGATAACCTCAACACAAGCGGTTTATTGGTTTAATCAATATAATTAATTCCCCTTGGCATATTAACCATGAGATGCATGCATTAATATTCCAAGTTTACTACCGTTGAAAGAACCGGATTAATAACAAGCGTATTAACCGATTGATTCTAGTAATAATTAATATGAGAAACAATACTAGTTGATACTTTAAGTAATGTTTTAAGATATTAACATGAAATATGAATAGGAATTAATCAATACTCAAGGAAGAATATTAAAATATATGAATCCTACTATGATTAATATCAAGATGTTAACTAATTGTCATCTTAGCAACACTCCCCAATATAATCATAGAGGAAGAAATAGCTATTACTATGATCAATGTCAAGATGTTAACTAATTGTCATCTTAGTAACACTCCCCAACTTTGATATAGAGATAGTATTTTGAAAGAAAGAATTAATATTCAAGGAAGAAGATTAAAGAAAATAACTCACAACTTACAAATTCATTAAGCTTCAAAGTAGCAAAACCAAGATGGAAGAGTTTAGCTCCTCATTTGGAGACTAAACATGATGAAAAATATAAAGAAAGAACTATTCTATACTGAGCTTAGATGTACAAAGGAATTGGATATCTTTTTGTGAAGGCAAGGAGGTGTATTTATAGGTTTTTGGGATGAGATTCGGGTACTCGATCGGGTATATACATGGTACCCGATCGAGTATGTATGTAACATCCGATCCGAGGCATACTCGACCGGTTTCAGGCTATTTTCTAAGTGTATACCCGATCGAGTATATATGAATACCCGGTCGAGTATGCTTAGAAAGTGATATTCGGGCTCTACTCGACCGATCTTCGGTTACAAATTTAAAGGCATACCCGATCGAGTATATATGAATACCCGGTCGAGTATGCTTAGAAAGTGGTATTCGGGCTATACTCGACCGATCTTCGTTTGCAATTTAAAGGCATACCCGATCGGGTATGTCGGTCTACCCGATCGGGTATAGACATAGAATCGTGGCCAAAATCTTCCCTGCATGTTCCTTTGTCTTCGGATCTGATCCGATTTGAAGTTCCAACCTAATACCCGATCGAGTATACTTAATACTCGACCGAGTATAGACCAAAATTCAGGATCTTCTTTTGTCTTTGAACTTTTGCACCTTCTCTTCACTTTTTGGGTTCACCAACTGTACTTTGGGTGACCAAAACCTGCTTAAGCTCAGAATATATCTAATCTAACCTATTTACAAGAATTTAACAATCTAATCTATTACACCAAAAGTGTGTAATTTCCAAAGTAAAAGTCAAGCAAAACTAATCCAAAACATAAACATAGAAATGGAAATTACGAACGTATCAACTCCCCCACACTTAAACCTTTACTCGTCTCGAGTAAGATCAAATGTTTACAAGTGTCAATGTTTGTCCAAAAGTTCCACAGTTCAACAAAAACATAATACAAACACAAAGACCACCAAGGATTACAAAGAAAAATGAGTTTTGAACTCAAATTACAAAAGAGCATCTTGGGTTTAATGGCCTCCTAGTGTTGTCTTCTTTTCTCCTCCTCTCTTCTTCTTTATCTTGAATCTTCATATTCTTCATAAGGATATAATGAGTGCCATCATGAGTGTCTCCCCCGCACTTGAATCACGCACTGTCCCTAGTGCTCGCCTTCTCCTCCGTAGTAGCTCCCTCCAAAACCGCTCCCTTGGCCACCATCTCCCATGTAAGTGTCCCCGCCATCTCCGCCGTCGTACCCTCCACCACCGGAGCCAGATCCTCCAAAATTACCCCAATGAGTAGGGTCATACCATGAGGGTGGTGGAGGAGGGTTCGCCATGGTATGGAAGGATCCCTGCTGTGCCATAAACGAGTACATAGGCCCGTAGAACCTATGTTGGTCTTCCTCATACCGGTGTCTATCGGCCTCCCGGAGCTCCTCCAAACGTTGAAAGCCGGCCCTTTGCTCATCCTCCAATCTTTGAAAACCGGCTCTTTGCTCTTCCTCTAATCGGTTGAGCCGGTTGTCCATTTGAGCTATTCCCGTTAGAAGTTGTTGTTGACCCTGCAGAAGTTGTTGAAAGAAGTCGGGTGGTGGAGGGTTTTGGCTTTGTTCTGGGAAATCATGGCTCATGGTTGGATGGCTATGGAGTTGCTCGTAGGGCTCGTCATCGGGTTGGTTTTGGGGGAGTTCCTGTTCCGGTTCTTGAAGATGTGGTGGGAGGGCGTTTGGGAAGAGGTAATGTTGATCCGGCCTGCCTATTTTGAAGTGGAGTTGGGGGAGTTCTGGGTTGGGCAAGAGGAAGTATTTGAGGGGTTTGGGGTGGATGTGCCAGTTGAACATATTTTTGGGCCTTTCTTCACCATAAACGGTGTGTGAAAAAGAAGTACAGCCCGAGTGGCCTAGCCAAGATATGTTCATTAAACAGTAGTCGGGTATAGGAGAGTCATCCGTATACCCGAACTTTGTGGCCAAGTGCATAATCACCCCGCCCACTACGATAGCACCCTTTGCCACACTTTCCTTCTTTAGATGAGCCCACATGAGATTACAGAGGTTGAAATCCACGTGGATACGGAATAAGGCAACCGAGATGAGGCATACATCCCCCATCCTTGTATGATGGTTGTTGGGACGTCCAAGCAAGGAGTTGGCTAGGAATTTCAAAAAGAGGCGTAGGACTGGATGTTGGACATGACTAATGTATAGTTGGGAGGAGCTAACTTTGGTCTCCCCGGTCATCTTGGTCCATAGGGTGTGGCCGAAGGCGGTATTGTCGGATATAGACTTTTGGTACGGGACCGGAATACCAAAGTGTTCGGCAAACTCAAGTTTCGTGATGGTGTGATTGTGATTAAACAATCGAAACCTGAGTTTATCATCTCTAAAGTCCTCCTCATTGTTCTCAAAGTGCACCGAGCTTAGGAATTCATAGATAATTTTTTCATTTGAGTTGTATTTCATTTTGAAAATTTTATCCATATGCAACTCATGAAAAAATTTCTTCATTATTGTGTATACTCCTAATTCCTTTAGAGCATCAAGGCATAAAAAGCGGGAAGGTTTGACTTGCCTTTCAATTGTGGACAAGAAGCGTGTGCGTTGTTCGTTGTCCACGAAAAGGATGTCCTCGTAGCCCGGGATGATTGTCCTAGTGCTTGAGCTCTGCCCTTTCTCTTTCCTTGGAGCCATTTGAAGTGATTTTGGCCTTTGAAAACCGAAATTGGAATGGTGGGGGTAGGGTTTTTCGGACCTCTGAAAGTTGGGGGAGAATGGGATTGTTGGGTATGAATGTGTAGAGGAGGATGAGGGGAGTGTTTTGGCGTTGGAATGGGTGGATTTGGTGAAGATTTGGAAGAGATATGGTAGAGAGAAGGTGTAAAAATGGGGTTTGGGCGTTTTTTGTTCGAGATGGGGTTGAGAATTTGGGGAAGATGAAGTGTTTTGGGGCTGATTTGGGGTTATAAGACCCGTATACCCGATCGAGTATGTGCTGGTACTCGGTCGGGTATGGCTGGAAAGTGAAGTTTTTGAGCGGCCTGCCTCCTGTACTCGATCGGGTATGGTGGGGTTACCCGGTCGAGTATGCTTAGAAAATGAACTTTTTGAGCAGCCTGTCTCTTGTACCCGGTCGAGTATTCCTCCATACTCGATCGGGTATGTGCTTTTTTTTTTCATTTTTGAAGTGTGTACTCGGTCGAGTGTGGGAATCAGTCCCCTTCAATTTTAGCATTTCTAGCGATACCCGACCGGGTGTATAGTGATACCCGATCGGGTATTGCTTATTTTTCAAATTTCGAATGCTCCCTCGATCGAGTAGTGCCCGGTCCCTTTTCTTTTTGCTCATACCCGACCGAGTATAAGGTTATACTCGATCGGGTATGTCCCCAGATGTTCAAAAACCTGCAAATTTTTTTTTTATTTCTTTTTTTTTTAAAACCCATGATTAGTGCCCTCCCTCTCAACCTCTCAAAGACATAATTGAAAACATTGACGGGGGGGTTAACAATAAAAGAAAAATGTACCTTGCTTGGGTTGCCTCCCAAGAAGCGCCTTAGTTAACGTCGCGGCACGACGCCATTGTTGTGTTCATTCTTCAAAGATTGGATCGATGAGATCCATGCATTCAATGCTTTCTTTCTGGAAACCTTCAAGGAATGGTTTGAGTTGATGTCCATTAACCTTGAGGATTTTTCCGGTATCGAGGCTTTTTATTTCCACTGCGCCATGGGTGTAGACTTTGACCACCTCGAATGGTCCTTCCCATCGTGATCTCAATTTTCCGGGGAAAAGGCGAAGGCGTGAGAGAAAAAGAAGGACTTTGTCTCCAACTTGGAAATCCTTTCTTATTATCATTTTGTCATGCCATACCTTCGTCTTTTCCTTGTAGATGGCGGCATTCTCATAGGACTCCAATCGAAGCTCTTCTAGTTCCTGGAGTTGTAGCTTCCTTTGCTCTCCTGCTTTAGCCATGTCGAGATTGAATGTTTTGACCGCCCAATAAGACTTGTGTTCGAGTTCGACCGGAAGATGACAGGCCTTACCGAACACGAGTCTATAGGGTGACATTCCAATTGGGGTTTTGAAAGCGGTCCTGTATGCCCATAAGGCATCATCCATGCGCAGGCTCCAATCCTTACGGTTCGGATTTACTGTCTTTTGAAGAATTGATTTCAGCTCTCTGTTTGATACCTCAGCTTGACCGTTTGTTTGTGGATGGTAGGCGGTGGAGAGTTTATGTGTGACGCCAAATTTCTTTAACAAGGTACTCACAGTTTTGTTGTAGAAGTGAGTGCCTCTGTCGCTTATCAAGATGCGTGGTACCCCAAACCTTGAGAAGATGCGGGTTTTGAGGAATTCAGTCACTGCTTTGGCATCATCGGTCTTTGTGGCTTTTGCTTCCACCCATTTGGATACGTAATCCACCGCCAATAGAATGTATAAATTTCCATGGGAATTAGGAAAAGGTCCCATGATATCTATTCCCCACACATCAAAGATCTCCACGTAGAGCATAGGAACTTGTGGCATCTCATGCTTTCGAGAGATGTTGCCCATGCGTTGGCAATTATCACAAGATTGACAATAGACATGTGCATCGCGGAATAAGCTTGGCCACCAAAAACCACATTCAAGTACCTTCATGGATGTTCGTTTTCCTCCAAAGTGGTCACCACATGCATGTGAGTGACAAAAAGCAAGTATGGATGCAATTTCTGTTTCGGGAATGCATCTTCGAATGACTTGATCTTTGCAATGTTTCCATAAATATGGTTCATCCCATACGTATTGCTTTGCATCATGCTGGAGTTTCTCTCTTTGAGCTTTAGAGAAGCTTGGTGGAAACCTGTTTAGAACAAGGAAATTAACAATGTGAGCGTACCAAGGACGAATTTCCTTAAGGGAGAAAAGGGTCTCATCGGGAAATTCGCCTCGGATATCATCTTTTATATGATTGTTTCCTTCTCCCAAGACCAAACGGCTTAAGTGATCGGCCACCAAGTTCTCCATGCCTTTCTTGTCCTTGATCTCAACATCAAACTCGCTCAGGAGTAGTATCCATCGAATCAGCCGTGGTTTGGCCTCTTTCTTTGTCATCAAGAACCTAATAGCCGCATGATCGGTGTAAATGATCACTTTGGTACCAAGTAAGTATGACCTGAATTTTTCGAGCGCATAAACGACGGCCAACATTTCTTTTTCGGTGGTGGCGTAGTTGCGTTGGGCGTCATTGAGTGTGGTGGATGCATAATAGATTACATGAGATGCTCTTCCTACCTTTTGGCCCAAAACGGCCCCGACCGCATAGTCACTAGCATCACACATGATCTCAAAGGGGAGAGACCAATCCGGGGCTTGGATGATAGGTGCGGTTACTAATTTCTCCTTCAAAGTATTGAAGGCCTTCTTGCAGTCCTCGGAGAATATGAACTCCACCTCCTTTTGCAAAAGTGTGCATAAAGGAGATGCAATCTTTGAGAAATCTTTGATGAACCTCCTGTAGAAACCTGCATGTCCAAGGAATGATCGTATCTCCTTGACGGTGGTAGGATAAGGTAGTGATTGGATAACCTCCACTTTTGCTTTGTCCACCTCTATTCCTTTGGACGAAATTACATGGCCTAGGACAATTCCTTCCTCCACCATAAAGTGACATTTTTCAGAGTTTAGAACAAGATTTGATTCTAAACAACTCTTCAAAACAAGAGATAGATGAAGTAGGCATGAATCAAATGAGTCTCCATGGATTGTAAAATCATCCATGAAGACTTCCATAAATAGCTCAACATATTCAGAGAATATGCTCATCATGCATCGTTGGAATGTGGCCGGGGCATTGCAAAGTCCGAATGGCATGCGCCGGTATGCAAAAGTGCCAAATGGACAAGTGAAAGTGGTCTTCTCTTGATCTTCAGGGGCTATAGGCACTTGAAAGTACCCGGAGTAGCCATCAAGAAAGCAATAGAACTTATGCCCGGCAAGTCTCTCAAGCATTTGGTCGATGAAGGGTAAAGGAAAGAAATCCTTTCTAGTTACCGCATTGAGTCTACGGTAATCTATACATACCCTCCATCCATTTTGAATTCGGGTGGGCATTAGTTCTCCATGTTTGTTTTCCACTACCGTGACTCCGGTTTTCTTTGGGACCACTTGGGTTGGGCTAACCCATTTTCTGTCGGAGATGGGGAAGATTATCCCCATTTGGAGTAGTTTGATCACCTCTTTTTTGACCACCTCCATCATAGGTGGGTTTAGTCTTCGTTGCGGCTGTCGTACCGGCTTGGCCTCATCCTCCATTAAGATGCGATGCATGCAAGTAGATGGACTAATGCCTTTGATGTCGGCTATAGTCCATCCAATTGCTAGTTTATGCTCCTTGAGCACCGCTATCAATTTGCCTTCTTGTACTCCGTTCAATTTGTTTGAGATAATGACCGGTAGTGTCTCTTTTTGCCCCAAAAACACATATTT